TAATGATGGTTTGTCTGAATATAAAATGATAATATAGCCAATCTCATTTATATTGCACTTCATACTTGTTAGACACTGTAATATGTAAATTTTACATACCGCATCTCATTTCTCACCACACATTCAGAAGTTAGGTATTGCCAATTCCAATTTGTAAATAGTAGCCTAAGTTTCTGAGAAGTTAAATAACTTGTCTAAAATCATCCTGCTAGGAAGGGAAGGTTTGAATTCAAACCTAGCCTATCTATTTCTCAAAAGATGGATGGGGTGACTTAGTAGGGAGAACTTGGGAACAGACATAGGAGTCTGGGATGGGCAGAGTGTGAAGGTGTTCTCTGGGAGGGGACCAGAGAGAGATGGAGCTGGCCAGCAGACCCCTAGACTTGCCCAGCTCATCCCTAGAGTTGCCCAATTCTACGAATATTCCTAAGTAGCCCTGGGGTGGGGGGGAGGGCACAGACTGGCTCCCAGGTGCCTATCAAGTCATTAGATCATCAGTAGTTGGGCAAATCCAGCTATTGTAATGACACAGCTCTGACTCTGTGCTCATCAAGCTAGCTCCTGACAGTTATTTGATATCTCATATAGATTTACCTGCTGGGAGGGAACTTACAACTTGAATACACCCTTCACACTTGAACAAAGTCACAGAAGATGAATGTATGGGCCAGAATACCAGAGTGAGACAAATGCCCTGAAATCCTATTAACTCAGAGTGCCTTGCATAAAATTAGTCTTCTGAATCTGCTGATTTGATGCAGTGTGGGTCCTTGGGTGCCCTGCAAAGGCTCAGTTCTCTCAGGTATTGGGCTTGACCACTGGCCACCCTTCATCTTTACCTCATGCTAAATTCAACAGAGAAGACATCACAATAAGGGCTATGCCCTCAAACACATGGCTACTGAATTTCCATGTTACGTCCAGGTCTTTTGGCTCATCTTATTTCATAGGGCAAATATCTATGCACAGAGCCATTTAAACTGGTGGGATTCTAATTCCCAGGCTTAGATGTTTGGGAGGCAATGTTTCAGTGAGCATCACCAGTGAAGTAGAAAAATACAAATTCACACATGTATTTTTATTGCTAATGGCATATCTGGGAGTCTTAAAGTGCTCCTGGTCAGTTGGAAGGAAAGTGATGTTATGATCACGACCCTGAACACTTTCAGCAGTGCCCTGATGGCGTGCAGTGCAAAGAGCAGGAACTTGGGATTTCAATAGACCTGGCTCCTCTTTCTGCTGTGAAATGGACAATGTATGGAGCCTCTCTGAACCTTGGTATCCTCTTTTACAGAGTGAGAGCTAATTTATCTACTAAAACAGTGGAAAACAGTAAGTATTCATTGCCCAGCACACAGCAGGCATTCAAATGGCAATTTTTCTGTTCACTGGTATTTGGAGAACATGATTAAAATTAAACCGATTAACCTTAATTTTGAATAAACGTGGTGGTGATTCCCAAAATATTCTGTCTACAGAAGTAACGAAAATAGCAAAATTTCTATGATTACTGTTTCTCATAATTCTGGTTTTCATGATCATTTTTATCAAGCCACTCCTGTATAACCTATATAATCTGATGTTTCTCAGTCTTATTGGTAAGTTACTTCCCCAAACTGCTGAAAGTTTTGTTCAATCTGTTAAAAATATTAAATCTGACTTAGATTTAACCACTTATCTCTATTCGATAATTTAACTCCTTTGAACATTTTTCTTGTGCTAGGAAGGGTAGGCACAGCTTGGAGCAACCGTCCAGAACTCAAATCTTGGTGGACTTTGGCTTTTGCCTACCAGGATGAGCCTAACTGCTTTGTGTGATGGCATTTGTAGATACTTTCAGCACTAGCTCAGCTACCTGTTGTGATGTGGCAGCAACACTATGCAGTTGCCATTTATGTTTTCTGAATGTCTCCTCTGTGTCAGACACAATATATACATTCACTTTCATCCTCATAGCAACCTCTAGTGTATACTAACCCACACTGTTTCAAACTACAAAATACAAACAACAGCTAACCAAAACTCAGAGAGATTAAGTCACTTACCCCCAAACACATATTTAAATCACACCCCACATTCATATTAGTTGTGACTGATCTCAAAGCCTCTTTTCCATATCACCATACTGTCCATCCTCATCAACTTTTCGAGCCTCAGTTTCAACCTCTAACGTTGCCCTGCCTACTTCATTAAGTTGTTAAGAGCATTAAATTAAAAAAAAAGTGCCCAAGGAATCTGTTGATTCTATGAGGCTATGCAACTGTGGTATATTACTATTCTCTAATGAGATTATTAAAATAAAATATTAATAAAACTTTCTATATTAATAAATTTCATGCTGGTTGTAAGTATGTTTTAAGCATAAGGCCAGAACTGATATGGGGTGAGGAAAGGAAAGTAATGGAGAAAAAAGCAACATTTATTGAACACATACTTAGTTGTTCTTGCTTAGTTGTTCAGTCGTGTCTGACTCTTTGCAACCCCATGAACTACAACCATGCCAGGCTTCCCTTTTCTTCACTATCTCCCAGAGTTTGCTCAAACTCATGTGCATTGAGTCAATGATCCCATCCAACCATCTTATCCTTGGTCATCTCCTTCTCCTGCCCTCAATTTTTCCAGCATCCGAGTCTTTTCCAATCAGAGAAAAAACAAAACAAACACACAAAAAACAACATTTATTGAGCACATACTAAGTATTGTTAGACAAAATGTTTGGATTTTTCAGTTACATCTTACAGAAACACTCAAGTGAACTTTTTGGCCAACCTGATATTAAATATATCTCATATGTTATTTAATATAAATATATTACTGAGGCTAAAAAGAATCGTCAGTACAAGTGATGTGCTCTTGTTCCACTATAAAGATGTAGGACTGGAGGGAATAAAGTAGCATATCTGGTCAAGCTGTGGAATTTGGATCCTGATCAACTTAATCAGATGTAAAATCCTACAGTCTTTTCAAGAGAGCACTTGACTTATGGCAAAGTGAGCTAGGGACAGGTTCCTGGGCATTAAGCCAGGGTTGGCCAGGTGGCACAGAAAACCATAATCTTTGGTTTTAGAATGGAGTTGTTTATAAAATCCTATGAAAGAGCTCCTTGGAGAAAAGAAAAGAAACATCACCATTAAGAGGGTTAGGCTAAGGACTTTCCAGGTGATTAAGAATCTACCTGTCAATGCCAAGGACACGAGTTTGGTCCTTGGTCTGGGAAGATTCCGCATGCCATGGAGCATCTAGGCCTGTATGCCACAACTACTGAGCCTGCAGTCCCACTAAGGTTGTGCTCCACAAGAAGAGAAGTCCCCGTGATGAGAAGCCTGCACACTGCAGTGAAGAGCAGCCACACTTGCTGCAACTAGAGAAAGCCTGTGCACAGCAACAAAAGCCCAGTAGAGACAAAAATAATAATAATAATAAATAAATTAATTAAAATGAGGGCTGGTGTCAAAAACCACTCAAGAATGGATTCAAGGTGAGCTCTATGAAGCTGCAAAGAAACAGTGGCCACCTTTTATATCAGCCAGAATCAGGTGGAAAAACTCGGCCACTCAAGTTCTTCATCTGTAAACCAGGCAAAACAATATCTAACTCTCAAGTTTGGGTGTAAGGATTAAGTAAGTTAATGCATATAGACAGGTTCATTTAGTCGCTAAGTCATGTCCTATTCTTTACGACCCCGTGGACTGTAGCCCACCAGACTCCTCTGTCCAAGGGATTCTCCAGGTAAGAAAACTGGAGTGAATTGCCATAGACTGGTTGGTAAGAATTAAATAAACCCCATTTAGCCTTCTTGCTTCTCTAGGGCATATTTTATCTTAAGTTTCTTGGATAATTCTGAAATTTGTTCTTTCTCTGCTCACCTCCAGTTAGCCTAACCTATAACTGACTTCTCCGTTTTTGAGGTAACTGTTTCTAACTTACAACTGAGTTTCTGATTTTTGACATAACTGTTCCCTGTGGTCTGGGTGGTCCTTGGGGACCCAAAGGACCAGCATTGAGAAGCCGTGCCACAGTAGAGGGGCTTCCAGCCCCTCTTTCTTCATCGGTAAAGAACCCACCTGCCAGTGCAGGAGAGATGTAAGAGATGACAGTTTGATGCCTGGGTGGGAAACGTCCCCTGGAGGAGGGCATGGAAACCCAGTCCAGTATTCTTACCCGGAGAATCCCATGGACAGAAGAGCCCAGTGGGCTATGGCCCATAGGGTTGCAAAGAGTCAGTCATGACTGAAACAACTTAGCGTGCACACACACCACAATAAAGAGAGATAATTAGACAAGCAACATGGGTACATCCTAGTAAAATCAGTACTGATGAAGTCCAGCTACATCAGTATCCTTCAAAGTATAGACACTTTGATGACACATTCTCTTTTCTGTCTCATTCTATCTCTATCATTTGTTTATCTCTAAGAAGAAGGGACATCTAGAAATGACACCTCCTGGCACCCCTCGAGGGTGGGCATTTTGCTCCAACTTCACCCTCCGTCTTGAGCCCCTTACCCCTGGAGAGGGAAGAGGATGAGCATGATTGTGAAGTCCACACTCCTCAAGCCCAACATGGAAAGAAAACCACTTCAATTTAGAGCATTTAAGAAATACCCACCCACAGAGGCTCCAGGAGTTAACTTTTACTTTTAATGGCCTACTTTGAATGGAGGCTGCCTTTCCAGGTGGCTGTTACCATTAACATCAGTCAAGAAAGCTGGTGACCCTCCTGAACTTAAATCTGAGTTGCCAACAGTCAGGAGAAGATTGAAAACATTTCGTCTTTAAATTTTTGTGGGTCAGTATCTCGATTCCTTCTTCCAGCAGAAGAAAGGGATCTTAAAAAACTGATCAAGGGAGCTGGTTTCTTTTCTCCCTTTTGATGCTTTATAGATGGCCCAGCATTCATGTTAGAAAAAAAACCTTTTATTCTTGCTATCAGCTCTCTCTTAATGGCCCTCTATGACAGTGAGATGACCACTCAGATGAGGCTGGCCTACAAGGTTTACCTGAACAGTGTCGGGAGCGCCAACAGCCTTGTGCTGAGATGTCCCTTGCATGAGGGGTCCGTGAGGGCATCACGGAGAACTCCAGGAGCCGGTAATCCAGGAGGCAGGGGGTTGAAGTATTCTCAATGTTCAGCAGTGTCCTTTAGCAGAACCCTCCTCCTGGGTCCGTTTAGGTTTGGTTTCCTGTGAAATGCAGCCACAGAGCTTGGGTGGTGTGACCTGTCTAGGGCTGGGACTTCCTCTTCTTGAGTTCAGTGCAATAAATGAAGCTATAGGAGGCTGAGGTCTTCAAACCCGAAGGGTGTCCTTAAAGACACATGAGGTCCTCATGTGGCACTTTGAAATTGGAAACACTGCTGAGTAACATGGAAGCATATGGGTTTATATGCACATGGAACACTGATTGGGCATCCCTAGTAGCTCAGCTGGTAAAGAATCTGCCTGCAATGCAGGAGACCCCAGTTCGATTCTTGGGTCAGGAAGATCCCTTGGAGAAGGGATAGGCTACCCACTCCAGTATTCTTGGGCTTCCCTGCTGGCTCAGATGGAAAAGAATCTGCCTGTAATGTGGAGGTATGGGTTTTATCCCTGGGTTGGCAAGATGCCCTGGAGGAGGGCATGGCCACCCACTCCAGTAGTCTTGCCTGGAGAATCCCCAGGGACAGAGGGGCCTGGCTGGCTTCAGTCCATGAGGTCACAAAGAGTCAGACACGACTGAATGGCTAAGAACATGGCTCAGGAACACTGATTTATCTTGTGACACGATGTTGCTGATGGCTTCCGGAGACATCCCCTCTTCCCCCTGCAAGGCATATGGACCAAATCCTTCAGGGATGATGTAGAGAATGTGGAATCTGGTCTTTTTCTTGCTGTACTAAATATTTAGTTATGTGATCTTGGACAAGTTGCAGTTTATTTTTCAACCAGTTTCCCTGTCTATGATTGAGAAATAGTAATGTTTATATTTTAGAGATATTCCAAGAAATGAATGGAATGATGCTCATTTGTTCAATAAATACACGGGGAAGAGTTTGGGGAACATATTAGTTGCTCAGTATATTTTAATTTTGTTCTGCCTTAATCCTAGTTCATTTAAACGGACAGCAAGTCCTTGTAAAGTGCCTGTTCTTCTCTTGGTGCTCACCACTTGGTACTCTAGTTTTATATAAATTGCTGTTTTATATAAAATGATGTTGAATTCCATCATTATTTAAAATGTACTCAAAGGTATAGAAGTTTATATTTTCAGAGATACATAGCTCTGATTTTGACTTATCATACACTCCAGAGGTGATGCGAAGGTAAGTATTAACGAGTGGTGCTCAGTCATGTCCAACTCTTTGAGGGCCCATGGATTGTAACCCACCAGGTTCCTCTGCCCAGGGAATTCTCCAGGCAAGATTATAGGTGCGAGGTGCCATTTCTTACTCCAGGCGACCTTCCCGACCCAGGGATCGAACCCACGCCTCTTGCATCTTCGGCATTGGCAGGCCGATTCATTACCACTAGCATCACCTGGGAAGCCCAAGCACTGGTTAAGTGTTACTCATATGCCAGGCACTGTCCTGAGCAATTTGCAGGCATTATCCTATTAAATCTTTCTGATAATCAGGTGAGGAAAATATGTTTAAACCCCTTTGTAACTGTGAAAACTGAAGCCTGGAGAGATTCCATAATCTATCCACCGTATCAGTTAGCTTCTGCTGCATTAGGGGCTCAAAGCAATAACCATTTCATTTAGTTTGCTGTTGTGTGGGTCACTTTGTCGGTAGTTTGGCCTGGACCTGTGGACACAGGGGCTGTGATTTCCTGGGGCTATGATAACAAAGTTCCACAAAGTGGGTGCTAAAACAATGGAAATGTGTTGTCTCCAGTTTTGGAGGCTAGAAGTCTGAATCAGGAGTTGGCAGAGTTGGTTTCTTCTGAGGGACACGAGGTAAGGATAAATGGTGGTCATCATATTTATACAGCACTCTTCCTGGTCCATGTTCACATATTTCCTTTTTTTTTAAGCACACCGGTCACGTCGAATTAGGTCCTGTCCTAATGACCTCATTTTAAGAGCCTACTCATTGGAAAAGACCCTGATGCTGGGAAAGATTGAAGGCAGGAGGAGAAGGGGACAACAGAGGATGAGATGGTTGAATGGCATTATTGACTCAGTGGACATGAGTTTAAGCAAACTCTGGGAGAGGATGAAGGACAGGGAAGACTGGAGTGCTGCAGTCCATGGGGTCACAAAGAATTGGACAAGACTTAGTAACTGAACAACAGCACTTCTTTAAAGACTTTTTTCCAGGTAAGGTTATATTCTGAGACGCTGGAGGTTAGGACTTTAATATACAGATTTGGGGAGGTGGACACATCTAGGACAACCTGGCCATGAGGTGTCTGCTGGTGGGTTGGCAGGCAGTTGGGTGATGTAGGGTTGTCCCATTTGTGTTTCTGTCAGTTGTCAAGAGGTCATCCAGGTGCCTGAGTTCTCCTTTCCAAGGCTTCTCATCATCCAGCAGGCTAGCTAGGACTCATCCACCCCCGATGGGCCCTGGGCTCCAAGTGCAGCAAGAAAGGGAAAGTCTCAGTAATCAAGCCTTTTCTGAGATGCTGCTTGCATCCTGTTTACTATGGCTTCATTAGCCAAAGCTAAATGCTCGGCCAAATCCAAAGGAGTGTGGGAGAAGATCACACAAAGGGTAGAAACAGAAAGGAGATCATTGTGGCATTCATCGACAAATAATCGAGTGCCTATATTTGCATCTAGTTAGTGGCTGGACTGCAATGGGAACCCTTGTCTGATGTTATGAAACTCCCTGCTTCATATCAAACAATAGAAAAGAGTTTGGTACAGTGAAAATATGGCTAATACTAGAGGTGATATTTATAGCTTTTCAGCAATTTCATTTATTCATTCTTTAGCTCATCCATTCATTCATTATCTATTGAATATTTACTATGTGCCAAACACTCCATTAGGTGCTGAAAATACAGTTTGGTGAAAGACAAACTAACCTTGTCCTCCTGGAACTTTCAGATCAGAGGAAGAGAAAATAAATGAGTGGGCTTCACAAATATCTATAAAAATACAACTTGTGATAAATGCAATGCAATGACCTGATCAAACATCCATTCAGGTAGCAACATTTCTTGACCTCCCCTACCTGCTGTCACTGGCTAGGTATGGGATACAGGGGTGAAAAAGAAAAATCTTGTTCCTACCCTTATGGAGCTTAAAATACATGGATTACAGACACATTGAACACAAAATAATGATCAGGGTGATGCCCCTCTGAGACAGAAACAAAGAAAGCCTTTTGGTGCACTAGAAGCAAATATACTATAGTCTGGATTCAGGAATGACTTTCCTTGGAGGAGGAGTGATGCTAAAGTCAGGCTGTGATGCTAAACTCTAAGATGAGTTGGATTTGCTAGAGCAAAAGTGAAAAGGAGGGGGGGAGAGGAAGGGAAGGAAGCAGGAAGGAAGAAAGAATGGAAGTCGAAAGGGAAGAGTAGGGGAGGGAAGAAGAGTAAATCTAACGTCAGGAAGAAGAGTCAAGGTCAAAAGGATTGAATGACTAAATGCCTGGGTGAGAGACAGAGGAGCTCAGTGGGGGAACCTAGAAAAGCAAAAGGGGCTTGGAATGCTAAGAACGAAGTGTGATACAGACATAACTGGATGGACAAGGAAAATTCTTTCTGGGTCTGAGCCCAGCTACCCACAAGTTCCAACCCATCTCTCCCTCTTTCCTGTTATCTGTATCCTACATTCCATGGTCAAAAGAATCTCTCACATTAATTTTCTTCTTTTTAAATTAATGAATTAATTTAAAATTTAAGCTTTTTGTTTTATATTGGGGCATAACCACTTAACAATGTTGTGATAGCTTCAGGGGCACAGTGAAGGGACTCGGTCATACATGCACATGTATCCATTACCCTCCAAACTCCGCTCCCATCCAGGCTGCAACATAACATTGAACAGAGTTCCGTGTGCTACACAGCAGGTCCTTGCTGGTTATCCATTTTAAACCTAGCAGTGCATACATGCAACTCCCTAACTATACCTTCCCCCTGCCCTTCCCACCTGGTAACCATAAGTTGTGGTACATATACACCATGGAATATTACTCAACCATTACAAACGATGAAATAATGTCATCTGAAGCAATATGGATGGATCTAGAGATTGTCATACTGAGTAAAGTGAATCAGACAGAGAAAGTGAAATATTGTATGACATCCCTTACATGCAAAATCTAAAAAGGAAATGATACAAATGAATTTATTTGCAAAAGAGAACCAGACTTAGAGAATGACTCTTCTTCTGTTTGGATAACAGTTGCTTTTGTATTAATTCCTTCATGAATCCTTATCTCTTGTCCACCACACTCTTCCCCTCAACCAGAGTTTACTGGGTCCATGGTTCCTGAGGGTGTTAGGAAAATCCAGAGGAGTTTGGGTTTTGACAGCCAGGTCACAATTACCCAGATGCACCCCTGAAAGACTAGCTGGCTTGGGGCAAAGAACTTGACAATTCTGAGTCTCACATGTAAAATGAGGGTGGTGATGCTTACCTGGAAGGATGATGCGAGGTCAAATTACTTATCTCCTGTATGCAGTACTGCACCTGGCATCTAGTTAACCTTGGGTGTTTTGGTTTCACCTGGGGTCTCTCACAGTGCCACTAAAGCACAGTATGGGGCCACCAGCAATGCTAGCTGGTGGATAAGTGGCCCCGCATGTGTGCGCGTAGAGGATCCAGGATGGGTGCAGAGCCGCCTGTGAGTCTGAGTAGGACATTCCTATGTCAACACTTGATAAGGTGAGTTTGTGCATGCTCAGTCGCTTCATTCATAGCTGACTCTTCGCAACCCCATAGACTGTAACCCATCAGCCTCCTCTGTCCACAGGATTCTCCAGACAAGAATACTGGAGTGGGTTGCCATGCCCTCCTCCAGGGGATCCTCCTGACCCAGGGATCAAACCCGTGTCTCCTGTGTCTAATGCACTAAAGGCAGATTCTTCGCCTACTGAGCCACCAGGAAAGCCCACTGTGAGTTTGTCCAGCCTTTACTTTCTAGGCAGTCCACTCAAGCTATGATGTCTTTGGGTAGATCACAAGAAAGACTTACAGAAAAAATGAAACAAAATCCTACAA